GTTGGCGACAGCCTGCCTTAGCCTTAGTGTCACCCTCTTCAGCCCCAGAGCTGAGCTCCCCCATGGAGCGCCATACAGATTCATGGCCCAGCAGCTGGGCACTGGTGTGCCAGTGAACACCCATCTCTAGTGCTTCTCTGTGTCCCCCAACGCTCTCCTACCTTTCACCTGCACCACAGGCCAGCCTGGGTCTTCTCAGCTGACGGGATGTGGCCTTGACTCTCAGTGAGTAAGGACACGCTGGGAACCCTGAATCTATGGGAACCTAGAAGAGGAGGGGGCCATTCCTGCGACCCTCCATCTGTACCCTCCGCCATTGCTCATTAGGCATTCTGCCCCCTCCTTCCGCTCGTTAAGCCTGATTTGCATATATTTGCATAATACAGTTCATTTGCATTCCAGGAGGCTCATGGTAGAAGCCAGGGGGGAAAAAAAAGGAAGGGGGTTGGTTTGGAGAGAAAAGGGTAGAGATTTTGTTTTCATCAGTGTGTGGGGGGCGGGGCGGGGCGGTGGCAGGAAGAGGACAGGAATAAAAACTCACACTACTTTCTTTCTTCCTCTGTCCGCCCGCCCGCCCTGGGCTGGACTCAGAGGCCAGAGAGAGGTGCCAAGGGGCCGGCTTTTCTGCCCTTTTTGTGTGTGTGTGTCTTGCTTCCTCCGGCCTTGGCTCCCCAGCCTGGCCCCCCACTTTGTCCAGCTCAGACTTTGGAAAGAAAAGGGGGATAGGCAATGAGGCTATGGGAACGGAAGCGCAGCGAGGCCGGGAGGCCGCCATCTTAGGGAGCTGGCGCCTAGAAAATGGCCGCTCCTGACAGGTGTGGGCTGAGAGCCGGCCCTGCTGGGTGGACAGTGAGGAGAGGGAACCATGATGGGAACCTCCTGACTGGCTTCAAAGCCCCAAGAAACCCCCGGTGGGAGGGAAGACGACAGGAGAGAAAGAAGGGAGGAGAGACTAAACAGGTGGGATTTGACCTGGTAAGCCGGGAGCAGGCAGCCCTGGCAGAGCACCTGGGGAACTGTGGGTGACGTGGGAAGTGCTGGAGGGATCAGGCCTGGGAGGAGCTGCGGGCACCCCGTGGGCAGGCAGAAGACAGGGGAATGTGCCCCTCAGATGAAACCGGGCTCTCTCAAAGGCCACCCCCAGCCCTGGTTCTTCCCTCATGCCCACAGCCACTTGTGCTGTGTCTCTTTGATCCAGTCCTCCAGCTCTCTAAACAGGAGCGTTCCCCAGGGGTTGTGCCCGCAGCACTGGTGGTTTCTCTCCTCTTCACTTGCTGCTTTCATTTCCCCAACCCCCACTGTCACATCCCACCTATGTCAAACAATCCTGCCTTTGACTTTAACATCATAAGAGACTGGGAAGGGTGCGTGGGAGTAACCATGTCTGGATCCCAGGTGCACGGTACAGGAGGTGCCAGGACATACTTGTGCCTTTGGTGTCTGGCATCCTGTGAGTACCACCTCTCATTGAAGCTCAGGGGTGTCAGGTTGACCCCCCCCAAGGGCCCACCCAGGTCAAGTCTTCAAGCCTTGTTCCACGGGCCCGTTTCCTTCTTGCTATCAGTGATGTCCTGGAATTCCTGGGCCCCCAGGAACAAATCCTGAGGGATTTCCTAGACATGGGAGACATCCCCACATCCAAGTCAGCCCCAGCAGAGCCCTTCTCCTAGCAACATGCTGAGCCCACACTTGTCTCTCCCCTTATCCCCTTGCCTGAACACCAGCCTGTCCATCCAACAGGGAATTTGTTGGGTGCCCCCTCCCGCCAAGTACCAGGTACTATCTCTAGAGCTGCAGGAGGCCTAGCAGGCTAGGGAGGGAGGAGTGTCGTACTGCAGACCTGGACAGAGCTTGCGGTGGCCAGCAGTGGGGGGGAAGAAAGCTCGGGAGGCTCACTGCCAGGTAGCCAGAGAGGAAAGTTGCAAGGGAAGCAAGTGTGAGTTTGTTGGGTAAGGAGGCTGATTATTTGTTTGTTTGTTTATATTGGAAAGGCAGAGTTACAGAGAGGAGAGACAGAAAGATCTTCCATCTGCTGGTTCACTCCCCAGGTGGCTGCAACAACCAGAGCTGAGTTGATCTGGAGTCAGGAGTTTCTTCTGGGTACAGGGTTCCAAGGCTTTGGGCCATCTTTTGCTCCTTTCCCAGGCTACAAGCAGGGAGCTGGATGGAAAGAGGAGTAACCAGGAAACATATTGGCACTTATGTGGGATGTCAGCGCTTGCAAGGTGAGGATTTAATCACTGAGTCATCGCGCTGGGCCCAGCAGTACTGGCTTTAGGAAAGAGCACAGTGTGCCAGGGAACCGGCATCTCTGGCAAAGGGAAACTGTTGGGGGAGTGACTCCAAACTAAGGAGCTGAAGTTGGGGGTTCATGATCGGGCTCCTGAGGAAGGGAGCCTATACTCACAGTGGCCTGGTGGGCAGTCACATCGGAGTCGGGGATTTGGGCCTCTGCTGCCCACTGTGTCCAGCCAGTTATGGGGCACAGCATGAAGTGGGGTTGTTTCTGCCTTTGTTCTGCCTTCCCCATCACTCACACACACTGCAGGAAGAGTGTGTGATCAGGCTCCCAGGAGCAAGCTGGATGGCTGGGTAGAGAATCCCAGCCTGGTAAGACACCTGAGGCCTTGGCAGGAGGAGGGCTGGGATGCTGGCTGGATCCTAACAGTCAGATTCAAGGAGTTAAGAGCTGCAAGGGGCTGGAGTGGAAAGGCAGAGAAGGCTCAATCTGGCAGCTTCCTGGAGGAGGGAGTGAAGGTGTTCAGGGAGAGCCCAGGCTCTCAGGAAGGAGAAGCTGGAGTGCAGGCTGCTCCTGCCCCTGCCACCTCCCAAAGTGGAATGTGAGTGGGGAGTGGGAGTGCAGGCTGCTGCCCATCCCCCAAGCCTGGCCTTTGCACAAAGACCTCTCTGTGCGTGGCCGGGGGCTGGCCCTGTCAGGTGAGGGGGCTTAGCTCCCAAGAGCTGATCAGGAGGTAGAAGAGAGGAGGAAAGGCTGGGGGTGGCCTCGGGCTTTAGCCAGGCCTGGGCAGGAAGGGAGAGAGAAGCTGAAGCTTGGCCAAGGTCCCCCACCCCGCCTGGCCATCCAGGATTGCACATGGAGGCCCTGTTGCTCCTCATTCCGTCCCAGGCTTGGGGCTTCCCTTGTCTCCCCATCTCCCCACCCACCCAGCTCCCCAGCACAGGGCCTCTCCTCCAGGGAGAGGGGCAGGGGGAGGGACAGACAAGAACCACAGAGAAATCCTCCTCTGTCTCTGTCCCTACTCTTGCCTTCTTGCTGTCCCCAGGTGAGGTTTTCTCCTTCATTCTCCCCCCAACCCCACGGGGCCTTCCTCCTGATCACTCAGCAGTGTGGTGGAGAATCTTTGCTGCTCCCCCAGCACCAAGACCTTGGTGGACACACTGGACCCAGCCCTGCTCACCTCTGGGTGAGGGGTAGATTCTGGGAATAGCAGAATGAGAGCAGACACAGTGTCAGCTCACAGCTTGGCCGGGTGGATGTTGGCCACCTGTGGGAAGGACCACAGAGGAAGGAGCTGTGGCTGTGGGACTGAACAGGCTGCTCAGAATACAAACTCTGGCTGTCCTCATCTGGCTGTCCCAGGGGGCCTCAAGCAGCCTGCATGATGGAGATGAGGCGAGGTGAGGAGGGGGTTTTGGAAGGCTGTGAGTGGAGGTTAGCAGGAAATGCCAAGAGCTGGAGGGGAGAGAGTGGGTAGAGTGGGTTTGAGTACAGCCATGGGAAGGCCCATCTTGGAAGAAGCATGGCTAGGTCCTGCACCTGGAGTGCAAGGGACCCATGTGAGCTTAAGTCAGGTGGGAGAGTCTAGTGCTGCAGCTTTCTTCAGCCTTTCTCTCGTTTAAGATGTTCTTTTTCATTTATGTGTGTTATTTCTTTGAAGGGCAGAAACAGAGAGCTGTTCTATCTGTTGGTTCATTCTCCAAATGCCTGCAGATGGGCTGGGGCCAAGACCAGGTTGTTGTTGTTGTCGTTTTACCTCCACAGTAGTGGTAGAGACCCAGCCACCTTAAGCCATCTCTTACCACCTTCTTGGGTACACAGCGGCAGAAAGTTGATACCTGAATGCCAGTGGCTGCTACTGCTGCACTCCCGGGAGATGCAGGCATCCTGGATGGTATCCCAACTGCTATGCCACACACCTGCCATCTTTCATCCTCTCTGGTATGAATGGGCATCCCCTAGTGTGGGGAACAGGGGCAGAGTGGGGCCCTGTCTCCTCCATTGTATATATTTTCATGATGTTTCTTCTCCATAACCCTCCTCTGCAGGTCCTCTAGTGGGAGTCTGGGCCAGGCTCTGGGCAGTATCTACTGACCCCCAGGCAGAATAGGACCACCATGCCTTGCCACCCAGGACCTAATACTGTGGCCTCTTGGGTGCTGTCAGGGGTGAGCTGAAGGAGACCCCCTGGGCCCCTGGGCTGCAGGGAGGGCGAGTGGAAGGCTGTTTTGTCTGCTGCATTCATTTCTTGTTGGATGAGGCGGGAGGGGAATGGTTTGGCATCATCCTCCTTTAGAGCGTCACGGGACCTTCGGGCCTGACAGAAAAGGCCAGGTTGAAGCTGGCATATGGAGGGAGCGCCCTGGGCACAGGGCATGGGCTTTGCCCGGCTGGGCTGCCTTCTGCTGGCTCTGTCCATCTGGCACCAGCTGGTTGCCCAGCGCCGCCCCCACAACTACCCAGCCTCCTCCTGCTGTTGCCATGACAATTGGCTGCCATCTTGTTCCCAGGGCACTGCCTCATCTCTGGATTTTCCCATGGGGTTCCTGAGGGATATGAACTGAGTCCCCGGGGACTCAGCTCTTTCTCTCGGCAGTAACAATTTACACGGATATGTCGCTTGCAAAAAGGGTCGGAATCTCTTGGTGTGCCGGCTCTGCCCAGCACTGCACTGGGTCATTTACTGGGGCGGCCAAGTTCCCACCAGTTTCCTGATGCTAGGAGAGGTTTGTTCTCCCTCCAAGCAGGAACCATCATGAGCTTGCTTTCTCCTGTTGTGGGAAGTCCTTCCCATTGTTCAGTCAGTGTCTCTTGCTGTAAGCACTCTGACCCTTGGCTTGATGGTGGCTGAGCTGAGAGGTAAGAAAGGAACTGTCCACTCTGGTCACCTTTTGGGGGGTTCAGGCATGGGGACAGGAAAGCTGAGACTTGGCTGGCTTCATGAGAACTCCAAACATTTCTTAGAAACCTAGTGGCAGCCACTCAGACTTTTTGTCTGGTGGAACCAATGCCAGAAGATGATTTGAGGTTCTCCTTCCTTGCCCTCATCAGTACCCCCAAAAAGAGGCAGTAGCCAGAGACCCCTGGAAAAGTTCTGTGGGAGGACCTGGCAGCCAGCCTGCCCCTCCTGTCATTGAGGAAGATCCAGCAGGGTCCCTGAGGGGTTGTGGAACCCAACCAAAGAATGGTCACCTTGACCTAAAGAGGCATCTCCAAAGGGGCTCCAGCTTTGCAGGAGGAATCTTGAATGAGGAGCAGGTGGGCAGAGAAAGGAGTCCATTCTGCACTGTGAGGAAGGACGGGCTGAAGGGAGGGCTCAGGATAATTTATGATATCATTGTTCCCCGCCCCGCTTTCCCAGCTCCCGCCCTCTTCCCAGCCCCCTGCTACTGTACGGTTGCTAGGAGATCCCGGCTGGCTGGGCTTGGGAGGGTGTAGCAGGCTGGGGTGCAGGGGGGAGGCTGTTCCATCTGGACTCCTCTTCCTCCCCTACCCTGGCCAGCCAGAGAGGGCCCTTGCCCCAGGCTGATCCACCACCCCTTCCCCAGGCTCTGCTAGACTGTCAGCTTTTTCTCCCCCAGATCTACTGAGCCAGAAATGGGAAAGAGGGTGCAGTGGGTGGGATAGACAACTCCCCTGTGGCCAGGCTGGGAAGAGGACCAGAGGAAGACAGGTGAGACCTCTCATCTCCACCCCTCCCTTCCATCAAGGTCAAGGTTAGGGGCATGACAAGGGCTAGAGCAGGCAGAAGCAGAGCTGGGCGGAGAGGAGAGGGCAGTGGGGCTGGAAAGGCAGGGGTGTGGCTGGGCCCCTCCTTCTTTCTGAAATTCTCAGATTCTGGAGAAGGCAGTGGTGTGAAGTAAACATTGGGGGCTTCCTGAACTGCTGGCTCCCAACTCTGTGCACAGGCCAGGATTTCTGTGCAGCTCTCCTGATTCTGTCTTTGCTAAGCATGGCTCACCCCACCCTGCACCCAGGAAGGAAGGAGCTGTCTTTGAGTACTCGCTTCTTGGCCCCTGTTTCCATTAATCCTTCCTTCAGCCCTGAGGATGGGATGATTCCACCTTTGCTTTGAGAAGGAGGCGGGAATGATGTGTCTCTTCAACTGCGCCATAGGGCTAAGAAGCTGGGTTGGGGCTCAAAGGGGGCTTCCCGAGCCCCAAAGCACTTGCTGTGCCTGCTCTCCTACAGAACATGTCATCCCAGCATCCTTGGAGGGAAGGACAGAGAGGACCACAGAACTGCATAGGCACCTGGAATTCACCCCTTGTTCTCTGGTGCAGCTGTGGCATCTGAGGGCTGCGGAGTCCGCCCTTGCACTCTGAAGACAGGACTGGAAAGCAGTGGCAGCAGGAGCCGCAGAAGACCCCTGTGGGTCCCAGGTTGGTCTCTAGCCCTAGGGGCACACTTTCTAGTACCTTCTCTGGGCTCCCTCCCTGTGACTAGGGTTTGAGTTTCTTCTGCCTTGGGCATCCCCCACCCCATGGCCACGGAGAAAACCCCTGGGAGAGACATCTGTACTCAAGCCTTTCCAGATGCAAGGGGGATCCTCCCACAGCCCCTGGACACTTGTCCTCTGCCCCTTTCTGAGGTTTCCATGTAGAGAGCCCTGTTTTTACTCCTGACCATTCTTTTTTCAGAACCTGCTTTATTGGCTGCCTTGCCTTCCCCGCCTACCCCACCCCTGGGAAGCCTTCCAGGACTGACAGCAACATGAGCTACGCTACCTGGCTCCCTTCCTCACTCTCCCATCCACCCACTGTCCTTCTAAGTCGTCCCCCTCCTCTGAGGAAGCCCCATCTTGTGTCTAATAAAGACTTGAGTATCGAGTAACAGTGGTTGTGGCAGTGGATGTCCCTGGGCAGGGCAGGGGCTGCTGCAGGAACCAGCCTGACACTAGAAGAGGGAGGCTCACCAATGCCAGAGTCCCCTTATGTGTGTTTATCAGGGCAGGGGGCTGTGAACAGCCACCCTGGGCTCCTGAGAACATCCTCCAAGGTGAGGTTGGTCCAACTCAGAGTCATGGGCTGCAGCTCCTGGCTAAGGGCACCAGGGGACATCCTGAGCATCAACAAAATGGACAATGGGCTGGGGAGAGGGGAGGGAGTGTCTAATGCAGGATACCTGTGTGGCAGCTCTGTTACCTCCCCGAGCGGACCCTTCCTCAGAAAGGTTCTCCTGGGCCAGGCGAGATAGCTTAGTGGCTAAATTCTCACTCTGCAAGCATCGGGATCCCATAGCATTGCTGGTTTGTGTCCTGGTTGCACCATTTCCCATTCAGGCCCCTGCTTGTGACCTGGGAAAGCAGTCAAGGATGGCCCAAAGCCTTGGGACTCTGCACCTGCATGGGAGACTTGGAAGAAGCTCGTGACTCCTGGCTTTGGATTGGCTCAGCTCTGGCCATTGTGGCCATTTGGGGAGTGAACCAGTGGATGGAAGATCTTTGTCTCTTTTTGTCTGTGTAAATCTGATCTGCCTTTCCAATAAAAATAAATACATCTTTAAGAAAAAAGAAAGAAATGTGTTCCTGGGTTTCCATAGACCTGCTTCTTCTCTGACCACTCAGTGGAAAGTGAAGGGAATGAAGGTGACTAGCAAGAGGATTCAACTGCTGTTAGAACTCCCAGCAGCAGCAAGACTCAAAAGAGGGGACCTGGGAGATGGGGAGGCCACAGCAAGAACCTGACACTAGGGACCCCTTTTTCTCTGTGTGTACCCACCCTGGGGATGCATACTTCCTTCTTCAATCTCTAGAGAGATCCCACTGGAGAAATTTGGTAGGACTTACTAGAAAGACCCTTCTTCCACATGACTGCAGTTCCCTCATGGAAGTCATAGGTTGAATCTGGGAATTGTTCTTAAAAAACAAACAAACAAAAAAACAAACAAGCAAGCAAGCAAACAAACAAAAACCACCCTTCCAATAATCACAATTCTCAATAGCATAGAGGGGAAGGCATCTCCATCCCCGGCCCCCTCTCCCAGCCGGGGGCCACCCCCATGCTCCCAAAGATACTCCATACACATGGCCCAGCATGGGGGTATGCTTGTGCTCCTTCTGCCATAACCTTGATCAGAGTGGCATTCACTGCTCTAGACTGGGAGGACTCCTAGTCAAAGTCAAGGTGTACCCCCGGGCAGCGACAGCAGGCAGAATGCTGGTGAGGCAACTGGGCAAGGTTTCCAGGAAGATCCGAGGTGCAGAGCCCAGCTCCTCACTTTGCAAAAGGAGCCAGCTGGAAAAGCATAGGGCTGTGGCCTGGAGTAAAACTTCAGCACGACTGTGAAGAGGGTCCAAATTCCCCTCCATCCCCCACCCTTCATCTGCTGCAAGACCTGGGACTCTAGGGTCCTGGGGCTGCTTAGGGGCCAGCCAGAGCAGTGCTCCCCAAGTTCCCAGCCCTCACTTTAGAGGTACCTGACAGGTCAGGCCTGCTGTGGTCATAGCTCTGGGTCCTTGGGGAGGCAAGAAGGGTCTGGATTGCAGGTATGTAGAGGGGGGAGGCAGCCCAGAAGAGGCTGCTGGGTCTGTCTACCTCTTCCTTTGCTTTTGTTTAGGCCTCTGGGCTGAACAGCAACCTGCAGGGTCCCCTCATTCTTTTTTGGAGAGGTAGGGGGGACGTGGCTGCTGCTGAGGTCAGCCCTCTTGCAGTCTCTGCTAGGAAGGAAGGCTTGGGCAAAGGTGCTAGAGCAAGGGGAGGAGGTGGGGAGAGAGGTGACCACAGGAAAGTAAGGGGGTCGGGGTGGGAATGGTGGAAGGTGGAAACAGAAAAAAATAGACACTGGTTGAGAAGGGGCAGACAGCCCCTCTCCATGTGGATGCCAGGGCTGCATGGGAGGACCAGAATGGGGCACTCTGGAATGTGTACATAGGGCATAGAGTCCCAAAGAGCATATGCAGATAAGGCTGTCTGTATGCAAATAAGCCTGTCTGTATGCAGATGAGGAGAGAAGGCATTCTCTTCTCAGGGTTACCATAGAGTCCACCCCATCTCACCAGAGGGCTCTAGCTGCAGGGCAGCCTGGAAAGGGGCCAGACCTGGAGAGGGGCAACCTGCAAGCAAAAGTGAGACTTCAGGAAGAACTTACTGAAGAGAAGGGATCCATTCTAGGGAAGAAACTGAGGATAAAATAGGGGCTGCTGGGAAGGAGAGGCGGAGTGGGACAGGAAGAGAGGTAATGGGTGAAAGAACCATTGCAGGAAACCATGGGCAAACTGACTGAAAGCTTGCAGGACCGAGGAGGGCAGAAAAGGGACCTCAGCTCAGTATGGTGGTCTCCTCCTGGACCCAGGCAGGCTTTGGAAGACAAGGCCCATGCCCCTATTGGCAAGGATCAGACTCCAGCCCTGACTCCGAGGCAGGTGGTTGCTGGCACAGCAGGTGCAGGGCCTCTCAGGCTGGGGGCCTGACTGATACACCCCCTAGGGAGGCATGGCAAGGGTCTGTGTGCCAGGTGGAGTCCACAGAGCATTAAGAACCCAGGCTGGAGAATGAAGTGAGGCCGCTGGGGCAGCTGTGACATTGGGGATAAGAACAATGTTTGGGAGAGCGTAGTGGGGGAAACTGAGATCCAAAGGATTGGGAAAGTTAAATCCCACACCCCTCCCCACCCATTCAGCTCAGCAGCTCCACATCCAAGCTGGACCACGGCCCAGGGAGCACAGAGGCCTGGCTGGGGGCCGGTGGTGTCTTTGAGAACAGCCCCTGCTCTTCCTCCGGTGGCCCCTAGCTCCCCACATCCAAGGGCAATGCAGCCAAGGCCTTTGTGGGGAGGCCATGGGGAAGAGAGGCCCCCTTGTTGGCCCATTCATCTTGCCGGAGGCATGGACGATGCCAGCTCCCGGCACCGGCTGGGCTCTCCTTCCTGGGGGTGCCAGCCGCCATTCCCTCCCACCCCCCACTGCCCCACCACTGTCACAGCCCGGTTCCCCAGCTCCCCGTCGTTTCCTGGAGCCTCAGGGGTTTGGCCATGGTCCCGGCTGCAGGATGGCGGGGAGCCCTGGTTCCCCCCACCCCTCGCACGCCCCCTACACCTCGCCTTTCCCACGCTGGCATGAGAGCCGTGGGAACGCTGCACGGCAGCTGGGCACCGGTGCCCGGTTTTGCCTACCCCCAGCCCCACCGACCTCAGAGAGGGGAGAGGAACAGGCTGTCCACTAACCTCCCCCCCCCCCATAAAAAAGGGCCTTCCAGGATGGGGGGAGGCTAGAAATCCTTAGCACTAATTATGAATCTAGGGACAAACACCGGCATTTGCAAGTCAATTAGTGACAGAACTTTCCCAGGAAAGAGCTTCATCTAGCTCAGCTTCAGACAGGGCCACATGCTGGGTCATCTTGGCCCTCCCCCTGCCTCTGCTCTACTCCCAGCTCCCAGCTTCAGGGATAGAGGCCGGCCCAGGATTCCACCAGCCCCAATGTGGCTTGGGGGTGCTAGGGCCCTTATCAGGCCTGAGGTGGTTCCTGGCAGGTGGGATCATGAGGCAGCAGCTGGACCATGTGTTGATTGGGAAAATAGAAGCCACAGTGGAAGGGCTGGCTCAGGTGCTTCCTGGAGAACACAAGACATCAGGGCAAGGAACTCAGGCTGGCAGACAAGCAGCGCATGGCATCCTGGCAGCCGTACCAGGACCAGATGCACACAGCCTGGGGGCACAATGGCCTCTCCCAGGTGGGGGAGAGGGAAGGACTTCCGGGAGGGACCCACCTGGACCACTCTCCGTAGACAAGAAGGTCTTGCTTCTCAAGCTGCCAGTTCTTGAGCTGAGAAGGGGCTGGTCTGCGGCGAGGACCCCTTAATTGGGGAAAGAGACAGGGTGGGGGTGGGAAGGGGCTGTGCAGGGCAAAAAGCCTTAGAACCAGCGGGCGCCGTCTGAGGGAGATTAGGGGATTATAATTAAAACGTGTTTGCGGCACTGAGCAGGTGGGTTGGGGCTGGTGCTAAGGATCTAATTGCTGCCTTTAGCCGGGGCTTTAGCCAGGGCCTGGCTGCTGGGGCTCAGTAATGAGTTGGGGATTGGGGGGAGGGGGAAAGGGAGGCGAAAAGAGGCGGGGCTGAGGGGCGGGAGGGGCCGTCTTCCTCTTCACTTTGAACCTAGCCACCACCCCCCCGCGCGCGCGCGCGTACCCATGCATGCGCGTTCTGGCGAGTCCACCCTGGATCACCAAGTGAATGTGGCCGTGGTGGTGTGGAGTTGGGTGAACGGGGTTGGCGGGGGGGAGGGGAGGGCGGAGTGGCGAGCATGAGCAGATACTCAGGTCCCCCACCACCCCGAGAGGGGCCATTGCTGGGGTGGTGGTCAGAGGGAGAGAACGGGGTGTGCTGTAACTGCAACTTCCATGGTAAACGGACTTCCTGTCGAGCCCTTCAAAATCTTCCCTAACCCTCACAACTGCATCCTTAAGGGCAAAGGGGGACAACGCCAGGGCCCAGCTTGGCTGCTCAGGTGGTCCAAGAGTTTCTAGACTCTGAGAGCTCTCAGACTTGGGGCCAAGGGCATGCAGGGTGCACTTCAGTCCTGGTCTTGTGTGCTGCCCCTTCTTCCACCTCTTATAGGTATGGGGTATGCAAGTGATAGGCCTGGATGCACCCTGGGGCCACGCTGCACGTGTGTGGTTGTTGTTCCTGTAAAAGCAGCCCTTTCCCATCCACGCAACCCTCCCAAGCAGAGAGGGTCCCCTCCCTGCTGTGTCTTGGGCTCCCCTGA